TTCGTTTGCGGTAGGCTCGGTCACTCCACTCCCCGCTGTTTTCGTCGCCTGGACGACCTCTTTCGTCAGCGCTTCGGCCCGTCGCCAGACCTCCCGGACTGGCACAGTTTGCTTAGTCGTAAGATTCAGATTTATGATATGGACATGGATGCCATTGTTGCTGCTCTGCATGTGATGTATGCTGATGACTCTAGTGTGCTTCCCGCTTATTACTCACTGCTGCCTAGTGTAGGTGTGCCTAGCTTAGCCTCCCCTGCTGCGTCAGGCGTAGGATCCCCTGCTTTGTGTAGTCTTGGTGCTTCCGCCGTCGTTCCGTTGCCAAACGCCTCTGCTTCGCTTTCCTTCACCTTGGACTCTGGCGCTTCTCGGTGTTTCTTCCGCGACTCTACCACCCTGACGCCGCTTTCTGTCCCAGCTGCCGTCTCTCTTGCTGACCCCTCCGGCGGTCCGGTCGTCGCCCGCAGTTCCACCACCCTTCCCTGTCCGGCGGTTCCTTCGGGCTCTCTCACAGGTCTGCATATCCCCTCGTTCTCCAGGAACCTAGTTGGTGTCGACTGCCTCCAGGACCTTGGCGTCACCACTACGTTCCCTGGTCACGAGCGGTATGCTGTCTGTACCGAGGCCGCCACTGGTGCCCCCCTGTCCACGTTCCCCCGGGACCCGGTGTCCAGCCTGTTCACTCTGGACACCGTGACCCCCGCGGCTGGGGCGCCTCCTCAAGTGGCTGCGTCTACCCAGGTTGCTGCTGCCTGCTCCTGTCGGTCCCTCACTCACCCGACTCTCCTTTGGCACCACCGCCTAGGTCACCCTGCGCTCCCGCGTCTACGTCACATGTCCCAGCACGGTCTTGTCCTTGGTCTCCCAGGTTCCCTCCCCGCGTTTTCCTCCTCCCCAGCCCCACCTTGCACGCCTTGTGTTGAGGGTCGGCTTCGCCGTGCCCCGCACTCCTCCTCGTTTCCCCCTACCGCCGCGCCGCTGCAGACCCTGCACCTGGACGTCTGGGCCCCCGCCCCCGTCCCTGGGCCACGTCGAGAGCGCTACTTCCTTGTGCTTGTCGACGACTTCACTCGTTACACCACGGTCTTTCCCCTGGAGCGCAAGGCCGACGTGCCTGGCGCTCTCATCCCCTGGCTTGTCTCTGCGCGTGTCCACCGTGGTCTCCCTGTCTTGCGTCTTCACTCCGACCGTGGTGGCGAGTTTGCCTCAAGTGTCCTTGGTCGCTTTTGTCGTGCGGAGGGCATCACCCAGACGTTCACCCTACCGGACTCCCCACAGCAGAATGGGGTCGCTGAGCGACGCATCGGTTTGGTCATGGAGGTGGCTCGCACCTCCATGATCCATGCCGGTGCACCCCATTTTCTGTGGCCGTTCGCTGTACGCTACGCTTCTCACCAGCTTAACTAATGGCCGCACCCTCAGCAGCCGCAGGTTTCGCCGACTCGTCTTTGGACTGGGTCTCCTGGTGACGCGTCTGCGTTCCACGTCTGGGGCTGCCTTGCTCACGTCCGTGCCTCCGACACGGACAAGCTCACTGCCCGCACCCTTCCCTGCGTCTTCTTTGGTTTTCCCCTTGACGCGTCCGACTGGCACTTTTACCACCCGCCGTCTCACCGCTTCTTTCACTCTCGTGACGTCACCTTTGATGAGTCCGTCTCCTACTACCGTCGCTTCCCCCACCGTGGTCCCCCGGTTACCCCCCCCCTGTTCCTGGTCACTCCTTCCCCGGTAGTCCCTGCCCCTCCTCCTCCTCCTCCCCGTCCCGCCCCCTCTGGTGTGTCCCACGTCACCCCCCTTCCGTCCGTGGACCCGGTTGAGGAGTCTTCTAACTCTGGTGGCCCTCCTGTGCAGTCCTCGCCGGCCGCCCCTCCCCCAGCGTCCCCTCCCCAGTCCCCCCCTCCACCGCCCCTGCCGCCGCTGCAGCCGTCGTTGTCGCTGCCGCCGCCGCCGCCGCCGCCGTCGCAGCACCCGTTCACTGACTCTGGGGGTGCTCGTCCTGGTAGCTATGGGGGTGCTGGTGTGGAGAGTGCCGGTGGTAGCCGAGGAGCAGCTTGCGGTCCCGGTGTCGCCGTTGTGCCGCCGCAGCAGCAGTCCCCGCCGGTGTCAGCCCTTCGACTGGTCGGCCTTCCGTCCCCCGACCCTGCGTCGGTTCCTCCCCGGCCGTCTCCTCCTCTTCCTGTCTACGGCCCTGTCTTCCCTCCGCCGGACTCGTCCCCGGCCCGTCTCCCCCCTCGTTCCCCTCCTGTGTCCCCTCCTCTGTCTCCTGACCCGACTCCTCCGTCGCACGTCTGGTCTCACCGTCCCTCCCGCGCTCGTCCTGCCTCGCCTTTCTTGCGCTCCCACCCTATGTTGCTTCGTTCCCACGCGTCTCGTCCTCCCCTTCTGCCGTCGCCTCCTCCGTCCTCTCTTGTTGTTGCACCCCCCCCGCTGTCTGACTACCTTCGTGCCGCTCGTCCCCTTGTTCCTCGAGTCCTTGCCTCTCTCGTTACCGACCCGTCTGTTCCGACCTCGTGCCTTGACACTCTTGTCGCTGCTGTCGCTGACTTCGCCTCTACCCGCCGCCTTGACTACGCCTCCGCTCTGGTCTCTGACCCTGCCTGTCCTCCGTCTTTCGGGGGTGCTCCTGCCCTTGGCAGTGACGTCCTGGAGGACCGCCAGTTCGAGCTTGCGTTCCTCTCCGAGGCTGCTCCCCATCTCTGTTCCATGGTGCTAGTCCCTGAGGGTGACCCAGACGCTCTCGACATCCCGACCCCTTGCACTTACGCTGAGGCGACTTCGGGACCCTGGGCCTCGCAGTAGATAGCTACCATGGAGCAGGAGATGGCATCTTGGAGATCCACCGGCACCTTCGTCGACGCAGTTCCCCCACCTGGGGTGAACGTAGTCGATGGCCGCTGGCTCTTCAAGGTGAAGCGCCCTCCTGGAGAGCCGCCTGTCTTCAAGGCGCGCTATGTGGCTAGAGGCTTCAGTCAGCGCGAGGGGGTGGACTTCTTCCAGACCTTCGCTCCGACCCCGAAGATGACTACTCTTCGGGTTCTGTTACACCTAGCTGCTTAGCGTGACTACGAGCTTCACTCCCTCGACTTCTCCACTGCCTTCCTTCAGGGCAGCCTACACGAGCAGGTCTACCTGCGGCGCCCTCAGGGCTTCACTGGCACCTTCCCTCCTGGGACCCAGTGGCTCCTGCGGCGCCCCGTCTACGGCCTGCGCCAGGCTCCCCGTGAGTGGCACGACACTCTCCGTGCTACGCTTGCTGACCTGCAGTTCTTTCCGTCTTCCGCAGACCCTTCACTCTTCGTTCGTGCTGACCAGACTCCGTTCTACATCCTTGTTTACGTCGACGACCTGGTCTTTGCCACAGCTGACAGGGACGCACTGGCCTCCGTGAAGGCAAAGCTGCTGAAAAGACACACGTGCACTGACGTTGGAGAACTGCGCCGTTACCTTGGCTTGCAGATCTCCAGGGACAGAGCTGCGCGCACCATTACCCTGACTCAGTCACACTTGGTGCGCCAGGTCCTTCAGAGGTTCGGCCTTCAGTTCTCCTCTGCACAGCCCACCCCTCTGCCTGTAGACCACAGACTCTCCGCTCCAGTGTCTAAGGAGTTGGTTGAGCCCAGCGGCCCCTACGCAGAGCTGGTAGGTTGCCTCATGTACCTGATGACTTGCACTCGCCCAGATCTCGCATACCCTCTCAGCATCCTGGCTCGCTTTGTGGCCACAGGCAGGCACCGACCGCAGCACTGGTCTGCCGCTAAGAGGGTTCTGCGTTATCTTGCTAGTACATCGGGCATGGGGTTAGTGCTAGGAGGACGCAAGCCAGTGGTCCTTACTGGACACACAGACACTTCGTGGGCAGACAACGCTGAGACACTCAGGTCTACCCAGGGCTACTACTTCAGCCTTGGCTCAGGTGCCGTCTCGTGGAGAGCTACCCGCTCCTCGTCTGTTGCGCAGTCCAGCTGTGAGGCTGAGATCTACGCTGGTGCCATGGCGGCACAGGAGCTCCGCTGGCTGACCTTCTTGCTCACCGACCTAGGTGAGCGGCCTAGCTCTGCCCCGGTCCTGTTCGCTGACAACAGGGCCATGATCCTCCTGTGTCAGGAGCCTCGACTCGAGGGCAGAGCAAAGCACATTCAGCTGCGGTACTTCCTCCTGCGTGAGCTACAGCTGCGACGTCAGGCTCGCGTAGTACACTTGGCCTCAGGTGCCAACACAGCTGATATCTTTACGAAGGCGCTTGCGCCTAAAGATCATCAGCGGCACTGTGTACAGCTTGGTCTAGTTCCTGTAGCCTCTCACTTGCTAGGACCTTGACTTTGTACTGTCCTTTATACGTATACTCAGACTGGACTTGTGTCCTCTCCCAGTGGCTGGACTAGTAGTGCCGCCCTGCTCTTGTTCTTGCCTTGTTTGTATTCCTTCTGACTGGTCTCTCAGACCCTTGTCTCAGCGGTTGGACTAGTAGTGCCGCCCTGAGCTGTTTGTTTAGAGCATTCCCCTATGCAGTCTAGGGGGTGTGTCAAACATGTGTATTTGTCATGATTGTATAGACTGTATAGGGTCGTCTCTTAGAGAGTACAACACTTAGATATATCTGTGTGTACACTCCATCTATTATTCACTTCTGAGTTTCTGATAATGAGGACACGAGATGTTGACATGTGACACAAAACAAAGTCGTGTAACATGCACAACTATTTTGGAATTGAACAACACATATGCACGTTCCATAGAACCATGGTCTTATATTTTTTTGCCTTTAATTCCACCCACCCCAAAATTTTCATGAATTTTTATTAGCTCCCTAGGGTACTATATCCGGGAGAATACGGTAGTGCCGCCCTGGTCTTGCTCTTGTCTTGTCTGTACTCCTTTGACTGGTCTTTAGACCCTTGTCTCAAAGGCTGGACTAGTAGTGCCGCCCTGAGCTGCCCTGTTAGGCACTGCCCCTATATAGTCTAGGGGGTGTGTCAAATGTAACTTAGGTCGTTACTGTAGACTATACTGGATTGTGCCTTAGAGGGTACAACACCCTAGTCTATATACCCTTGTAGTCACACATTCTAGTTCAAGTATTCTCTCTGATACTAAGAACCTCGAAGAAATCAGGATAGACTCCATAAGTTTACTCTGTCTGCTCAGGAAAAAAAAAAAAAAAAAAAAACAGGGTGTTCGAATTCACGAGGAATTTTTTGGGACCAACCCTGAAAAATCAGAGAAAAAACTCAAGGGGAATCCTGAGCGATCAGGGCTCCTAAAAACCAATCTAGAGGCCTGGTTGACCGCATCGTTGGTGAGGGTGGTGGTGGTGGGGGCGGGGGAGCTGGAAAGTTCTTCCCCCATCTCTGCACAACCGGCTTGCCAAGCAATTCCCTGTGCCAGCGAATGTCTGCCTCGTACCCCCGCTTGCCCCCACATGGTGATAACCCTGCCAGCAGCACGTCTGCTCGAGCACACACTAGCTTATCCACAATCGCCACCACCCCTGCCAGCAACGCAACACATACACTTTTCTCCTGAAAAGTTGAGAACAAAACACCACAAAGCATCCTCACCACACACCCCCACCCCCCCCCCCCTTGGCTCCCATCTCTCTCCCTTCCCCCTAGGGCCCCTTCCCACATTCCCCCTCACACACAATGGTGACATGTGATTGACACAAACGGCGGAATACTGCGAATGACAGTTCAAGGCCGGGGGAAGCTCACCGGGGTCATAGGAGTTTAGAGACGGGATGAGCTCATCGATCATGACCGTGCCGCTGACACGCGAGCGCAGCCAGTGCAGCTGCTGCACCGCCATGCTTGTGACGGACGTGTTAAATATCCACTCCAGGTACGACCAGGAGTTGGAGCGCGAGGGCGCGCTGGACGCGTTATACGGCACGTCGGCTGCGATGAAGACGGCCGAGATGTTGTGCTCGCTCTTCACCTGGTTGATGCGCTCTATGGCATCCCCCGTGCACCACTGCATCTGACCCTGCAGCTTTGCTGCGTCTCTGCGCCCACTCGCTGTCGGCTGGTTCTCTTCCATCTGCCAGCACGCACCAGGCAGCAGGTGGCAGGCAGCAGACGAAGCGAGGACAACATGGGCTGAAAGAATGTCCAGCAAGGCCAGGAGGACAAGGCGCGTCGTGGTCATGCCGGTAAATGCAGCGCGTGCATGCCATGCGCACTGCCACGCCTGTGCCTGCGTACTACTTGGAGGGCAATCAACTCAACTCAGAAGTGCATGGCAACAAGGGTTGCAGCACTCGTGGCAAGAAGCTCCTCCCATCCCTGTGCCATGGCCTCTGTGCCCCATGGCCCTCTGTGTCCCATGGCCCTCTGTGCCCCATGGCCCTCTGTGCCCCATGGCCCTCTGTGCCCCATGGCCCTCTGTGTCCCATGGCCCTCTGTGCCCTCTCCCTCCCTAGCGCACTCACCACGCGGAAGGCAATGAACTCGGAGCGGAAGTGCACGGCGAGGAAGGGCTTGGGCAGATGGGCCACAATGCGCTGGGCAAGGTAGTGCCACTCGTGCTTGTAGGGCAGCTGCTGCAGCGATATGTCATCCGTGGGCGGCAAGAATTGCACCCGCTCCCACGTGGTCTTGAACCACAGCACCACGTCCTTGTCAGCCCTGAAGGACGTGGACAGATGGGTGCAGTGGGATGCGGTATGGTGGTGCATGCATACATACTAGGGCTGTGTCCGGAACTGCACTCTCTCCCATGTGATCTTGAACCACGACGTTCCCGTCGCTCCTGCTCATGGCAAATATGGCAGAGGTACGAATGCCAGAAAGGTACGCGTTGCAGAGAGCCACACAACCACATTGCTACTCCTCTCTGCTCCTTCAAACTTCACTTCATCAAATTGCTATTGCACTGCCACACAACCATGGGGTTGCTTGCAGATACGCCTGCAAGCATTGCACGTGGAACATACTGTTTGCGAATGAGGTTCTGGACGTCGCTGGCATTGGCGGGCAGGTTGAACACCTCGGTGTTGTGCTCAGTAGGCACGTGGCCCAAGGAGTATGTCAGCAGCTCGCCCGTGAACTCTGACACCATGTCTGCACGCACACCACACACGCACACACACACCGTGCCCCACCATGCCCCACACACCATGCCACACACCCCATGCCACACACACCATACCACACACACCATGCCACACACACCAAGCCACACACATCATGCCATGCCACACATCTCATGCCATGCCACATACATCATGCCATGCCACACACATCATGCCATGCCACACACATCATGCCATGCCACACACATCATGCCATGCCACACACATCATGCCATGCCACACACATCATGCCATGCCACACACATCATGCCATGCCACACACATCATGCCATGCCACACACATCATGCCATGCCACACACATCATGCCATGCCACACACATCATGCCGGGCACAGGCACAAGACAGAGGGACAAGGATGAAGAATGGCGCTGGCGTCACACGGAAGGAAGAGTAGACACACATACACACAGACCGGAGTGGGGAAGTGAGACACTATGGCACACACACATGCATGCTAAGCAGAAGGGAGCAGCCATGCGCGTGCATGCAAACACACACACACACACACACTCTATAAAGCGTTATCAGTTGTCAGGAAGGACTCATAGAACGAGGTGTGTTAACCTACCAGAGCACACTTTTTCTCACTCACACTCACCCACTCCCACTCACACTCACACACACGTAGTAGCAAGAGATATCCAAAAGCACGACCCGATGGCCAAGGGAGAGGCGACCCACGCATACCCTGAGCACGCTCAAGATACGCCTACAACACGCGGGGGAGGGACGCCTACAACGGCTCACCCCAGTCAAAGGGGTTGCGGTTGAGGTAGGGCGAGGTGACCCAGGTGAAACCCACAGAGGGCTCCTTTAGAGTCGTGCGGGCCACGAGCAGAAAGAGCTCTGGGGAGATCCAGGGAGCCTCGTTGAAGGGGGAGAGGTCCCAGTAGGCGCAGAGCGGCAGCGAGTGCGAGAGGGCGATGTTGCTGTGGCTCCCCTGGAGAGGAAGGGAAGGGGGGCAGAGGGCTTTGGTCGAGCTATGGAGGGAGAAGGAAGAGAGGTCCCAGTAGGAGCAGAGACGGTGGGAGTGCGAGAGGGCAATGTTGCTGCGGCTCCCCTGGAGGGGACGAGGAGAGAGGGGCAGGAGGAATCGTTGAGCGAGGGAACACGAGAGAGACGGAATGAGGAAACGGAGGGAGAAGGAAGAGAGGACACCCACCCCCCTCGCACCAGCGCCCCCCCCTCTCACCAGCGCCCCCCTTCCCCCTTTCACCAGCTCCCCCCCCTCACCAGCGGCCCCCCTCCCCCGCTCACCAGCGGCAGCACGAGGATGCGGTTGGCGATGCGCGCAGCCCGCGCGGCCTCGACGAGGTGCGAGCGCGCGTTGCTGAGCTGCTCCTCCGCCATCGCGAACACCAGGTACCGCGCGGGCACGCGCGGATCCAGCCACCGCAACGCCTGCCAGCAGAGGGACGAAGGCGCGGGGGGGGGAGGGTGGGGTGGGGGGGGAGAGAGGGCGGGGTTTCGGGGAGGGGGGAGGGGGGGGGGGGGAGGGGGGGAGGTGTTTGGGCTTCATGGGCAATGGAACGTGCGGAAAGCTGGGGGAAGGGGCTTGAACGATGACGTAGGTCATCCGACATCCGTCAACCGTCTACCGTCTACCGTCAGCGGCCCAGATATGTCCTTCGTCTGTCGCCTACCTACATGCTCATGCTCAGTTCCCACCGCATACAACACTATGCGACTCTCGATTCGGCAAGAGCGTAGCTACCAAGCGACCTGTAGTAACACTAGATTGGGAAATGTGTCCCCACCGACGACGATCGCGACGTGTACCAGCTAACTCAAAACTATGAATCTGAACCTTTCGCATGCTATATTCGGAAATTCACGCGCACCGATGATGATCGTGAGCAGCTAGCAGTAAGGGTGCGGCTTCATGTCCCCTAGCACGGCATAGGGCGCTAGAGCTTCTACAAGAGCGTACGCTGCGGGAGAAAGGCACGCCGGGCACGGGCCAGCATGGCTCGGGCCAGTGGCTGCACGCGCTGCCGCGAGCGAGGAGGCTGGCCTGCACGCGCTGCAGGCGCCGGCACGCGGACTCCAGACCGCGCGAGATCGCTTGCGCGCTCGTGTATCCGTGCTGCTGCGCGCTCTCCAGCCACCGACTGCCGTTCACGCTTCCCCCCACGGCGCGCTGCCACGGATCCGAGCACAGCAGCGCGGGGTCGTGCTGCACGCGCATCCGCATTCGCCGCCCCGCGCCGTTCGGCGGCCCTTGCGCCGCGCCGAGGGACCCCGCCGCCGCCGCCGCCGCCGCGACGCTGCCCGACTCGTGGAGCGGGAGGCTTTGCATGGCGGCGGCTTCTCTCCGCCTGCCCTGTAACGCCCACTCCTGCAGCGACCGACACAGGATGGCTCGACACCTGACGGCGAGCGGCGACTCGGCTTCAGACGCGGAGTAAGAGCCCCTCTTATTGGTACTACTGCTAGAACTACCGCTACCACTGGCACGGCTGTAGGCCAGTCGCGAGCCGTGGTGGCGCGGCAGGGGTGCTAGGAGCTCGTCCATGCAGTGCGGCGGCATGGGCGCTAAACGGTTGTGCAAGAGCGCGATAACGGCGAGCGACGTCGCCAGCCCCAGGAACAGCACCGGCCACGGAACAACCCCGCCCCCGCCCGCCGGGCCTACTCGCAGCTTGCCCTGCTTATTATCACTCCTTCTAAGAAAAGAGGTGCGATCGCCGGGCTCGCCGCCATTGGCTCCGTGATTTGCGGACGCGGCGGAGAGGCAGCGGCGGGTACAGAAGGGGATGCGGGCCCGGGACAGGAGGCTGCAGTAGCCGTCCAGCCGCTGTCCCATTGCACTGCGAGGCCCGAGGAGTGCGACTAGCATCTGGAGCACTGCTGGTGGCGAGGGCGAGCGGGAGCGGGAGCGGGAGCGGGAGCGGCAGCGGGAGCGTGAGGGTGAGGGTGAGTGCGAGTGTGTCGACGAGCGTGCGCATTACTCGAGCTTGCTGCTGTCATTTGTGCTACGGTTGCCACGGATGTGACGCGAGGCGGCTACAGGCTTGGAGGTGCCCTCCCTCCCTCCTCACGAGCAAGCTAGCAAGCACCCTCAGCAACTACCCCAGAAGGAGGCTAAGCGTGCTCACTCACTCAATTTGAGGGTGTTCACAGTGGTTACCGAAATTACCACTGTCCACAAACCCGTTTTGCCGGTGGCGACGTTCGCTGGCGTGTCCCAAGAGTGCGTCCCCCATTCAGTTTGTACAGGTGCAATACGTGTCCCAAGGTTCGAGGCGGTGTAGCAGGAAAACCGCTTTCCAGCGCGTTGCACTGTACATCGACGCATACAGTGTATGCGGGACGTACTCTTGGGACACGCCCTGAGAACCGGTCTTTGGCCAAAACCGAAATCCACGTTCCATGCCGAGGGGTGGGGTTGGGCTGCATGCGACACACGGGTGCGCACTCCGCCAGCTTACCCACCAGCGCAACCAGTCCATCGCCTGCTCCGCAGCCCCTCATGCTGGACTGCTGGACCGTGAAGGGGAGAATCGCGCAGCTCATTGAAATCGCGTCCTCAATTCATGTATTCTACCCGATTTTCTCGACCCCCAGGCAACCCTGGACCTAATAATTGTTTCTACCCCTACTGTCAGGATTTCCTTTTTTTATAACGGGGGACTCAGGGGGCATGGTGAAAACTTTTGAGAACCTGATTTCCACAGTAGTTATTAATCCTTTCGGGAGGCAATGCCTACTTCAAAAGGCTCAAAACAGTTTTTTATGCGATGGACAAAATCTATCGCATGCGTTGCATATGGTGGCATGATTTTACAACCTAGGTTCGCCTAATGATGGCAAATGTCCTTGCACCAGAATGCACTAAGGAAAAGACCCAAGAGAAATCATGAGACTTCAACAAACTCCATCTGCCACACTTGTCGTCAAACGTTGACCATCTGGGCGAGAATTAACATATCCTTTCATTTTCCTTGCGGCAAGCGGATTGTTTTGCCAAGTTGCACAATTGTGGTTTCCAGATTGTTCAAGGAGAACAAAAGGGTCTGGCATTGGAATATCAGCGTAAAAATATTGTGGCATATCGACCAAAAGGCATCGTGGTTTGTAGTCCTCGTACTGGGTACATGAAAAAAAAAAACATGGAAAATAATAGAAATTATAGATATATTACAACACGACAGAAATGAGCACAAACGACTGATACACCTGATACACAACTACCGAGGTCGCCTGTAAGGAAATGGTATTTCCTTATCCCATGATTCGGCTAGTAAGGCGTACTCCTGAAGCACCAAGTGAGCCGAAGGTCCCCGCTGCTCCGCCTCCGCTAGCCTCGAATTCTGGGTCTCCTGGTGATCCATCGCTCTTGGTCGATCTTGCTTCATTTAGCTCATAGGAGGTACCTGTTGATGTTGTCGAGGATGACACAGAATTTAAAATGAGGCTTATGGTTATCTAAGCGACGACTCGGAGGACAAACCGGAACCTGCCTTGAGAGGTGAAATCCTCTTATTGCTTACTGTCAAGTTAACTCTTCTCATTCCGATCCCTCTTATCAAAGAGATTTCTCGGATAAAGGAATCGGTCAAGTCGCGACTAACCCTCTAGAGACGTCAGCTTAATGCCGATGTGCTCGGGATGACAAAGTTGCAGGCTCTTAGCCAGCGTTTTTCTCCAACTTCCGATATGGAAGGCTGCAATTTCCTTTCGAACATGAAGCCAGCACGTAGTACATCTGGACTCGCAAGGTGGACCACTCCTAAATAGACAGCAAACAAGTGTATTTGAAGTAGCAACACCTGCATAACAGAGAATGCCTGACTGAGAAAGCGACAAACCCATTAGCAATCGAGATCTTCAAGAAAGTTTGTTTCATACGTCTTACCACCCGTGCATGCCTTGGCGTCCCCTCCTGGTTTCCTTGATGGATAGAGTATCCACCCTCGCCATCTATGAGCTCAATGTCTATGGGCTCGGAAGCAATGGCAAGCAGACAAAATATAAGCACTGGCCTAAAAAAACAGCAGACATGGTTTTACTGACAGACACGAGAATACCAAGCGATCACAATTTCTGGACTATGTTGAACCCACTCTCTATGGCAACAGTCGCACCATTCATGAAGGCGATAGGGGTCGTGGTTCTTAGATTCAATAAGGCAGCCCACATTGTAAATGTAGAGGCTCATGCATCAGGTAGACTCGTAAAGGTCAGGATCTGTTGGAAGGGGTTGGACGTGTATTTGGTAGCATCTAATTACCAGGGCAAGCTTGAAAAAGACGGAGTTTCATGAGAGATGTCTCGGGGCTGGCTTGCCAACACATCCTAGCAGCGAATCACTTGATCATGATGACATGAACTTAAAGGAGGACCCCTTCCTTGACAAACCGTCAAGGTTGGGCTCAGCGGGGGAGAATATGAGGCTGCTGGCGACTTGTGCAAAGAATAACCTACAATAAGAGAGGCCTTCCGCGAGAGTACATAAGAATAACCACCGAGAGTACACCTTCCGCTCAAATCGTCACTCACCAGCTCTCAGATTGATCGTTTGCCCGCCTCATACTCCCACCTCCATCAGATTGTGGGGGCCTCTCACAAGTCCATCCCGGCTGGGTTATCGGATAAGTAGTTCGTGGTATAGATATAGGTAACTGCTGCTGATAGCCTAGCGAAAGGCACAGGGCTTTGGCATCTTCCTACCTTCCAAGTTAATAGACATGGAGTTAGGGCCATCATAGAATCCACACTTTACAGACACAGTACAGATTCATGCAGCACCTTCAATTCACTGATCCTCTCTTTGCGCACAGGCGTGCGCTTGTACTCGAAGGAGGAGAGGAAACGGGTAAATGCGACGGCTCAACACCTGGAGGGCAAGTTTACAGAAGTGAGACAGTTAGTGATGGAACGGCTATAGAACCCACATGCACAGATGGAATGTGAGGTGATGCTTGTGTCATACACATACAACATTACAGAAGGACTACATCTGCTAGCAGGAATCCGGGCAGAGCTTGGGGGGGAGGTGCCGTCAAAGTTCCTGTCGGCCAAGGTGAAGGCAAGGAAAACAAAGATGGAGATTGGGGAAGTACAGTTTAAAGATTAAATACACAATGGGAGTAAGGAAGTCCTTGGAGCACCTACTGCACACTCTGCTGAAGCTTTTGGGACAACACCTGAAGCAGAGATGGGGGTTTTTTGGGAGGTCGACCCAAATAATAAGTTGAATGAAGCTGCGAAGGTAGCCTTCAGGCGGTGTGGACAAAACTGGCAACTAATAGATCACCAGGTAGCAATAGCCTACCGAAGGAGTCCTTTCATACCAATTGGAACCTGTTGGGGCAGTAGATCATGGGTTTTCTTATAAAATTTCAGGCATCGAAATGACTCGATGAAAATATCACTGAAGTGGCTACAATCCTGCTCTAAAGAAGGGGCCAAAATGATATGTTGGGCAACTACTCCCCCATCTCCCTACTCAATACTACACTTAAGGAGGTGGCAAAAGTGCTTGCATGCAGGATAAAATGGTGCTTCATCAAGTGATCTCGCAGGAGCAGTATGGCTTCCTACCTAGTAGACGCCTGACGGATGTGGTCCCTGCAATGGCGGATGTGATCGGTGGGGCCAAGCAGGGACAGAGGGAATGGTACCTGCTTCTGGTGGACGTCTTGAAAGCTTATGACTATATATCAATGAGTTACCTGTTCAATGCCATGCGGGCGATGAATTTCCCATGATGTTTCATTTGTTGGGCGAAGGCTCTTCACTGAAATGCGGGTACCAGAATCTTCATCAACGGCTGGCTGCAGGACAAGGTGGCGATGGAGAAAGGGACAAGGCAGGGCTGCCCACTCGCACCCCACCTCTTGCTCTGTGCAGCGGATATGCAGACGACACAACGTTAGTTCTAAACGCGCAACAGCACCTTGGGAAAGCGGAGAAGCTGCTCCAGGATTTCGGGGTTGAGAAAGAACCTCGACAAGCACGTAGGAAAGCCCCGCTGCAACCCACGACTTTCAAATGGGCGTTGCCGAATGTAGTGGAGTGGCTCTCCAAATAGAGACGTAAGGCCGTCCTGGGAGATGGCACTGGGGAAGGCGCAGGCGGCTTTAAACATGTGGGAGTGTCTGCATTTAACCACCTTGGTGAAGGTCATTGTACTTAATGACTATGTCATGTCAATCATCCTCTTCAAGGTGCAGGTCTACCTGCCACCTGTCGACACGTAGAATTGGATAAGGAAGCTTGGACACAATTTCGCCTCTAGAGGAAAGGCATCAACGGATAATCTCTTTATCCTTTGGAACTATAAAATAGTACAGTATGCACTACCAGGAAAGATGGGGGACTGGAGGACATTGATCTGAAGGCAAGGGTGGACGGCATGGCGATGCACAACAAAGCGTCTATGCTACTAAAAGTGAACTGGATAATGTGGCTGGCGCAGGATGTTGAGAATAGCCCTGATCCTGTGAAGGTAGCAGAAGTCTGCGGAAGCGGCATATCAACGAAGTCTGCGGATACGAGCCCTGCAAAAGGCTCATCAACGAAGAGCAGATTTGTCGACAAGGCGAGGCTCTGCAGGAAGTGGCAGAAGAGCAGTTTCGTTGGTGGCAGAAAAGCGGCTCTATCAGAGCGGCAGAACAGGAGCGCTTTTTCTGCATATGGCTTCTACATCGACAGGTGCTTTTGTAGAAGCGATCTCGGCCGAATGGAGAGTGTACAAGGCCCTCTGCCGAATCAGCACCAGGGGCCATTCGCAGAAGGGTTGTCCTCTGCCAAAGTATCGCGCAGAAGACATTTCTGTAGGCGATCCTTACGGCAGAGTCGACTCTCGGAAATGCGTTCCAACAAGACCTCGGGCAGAGTGGCCCAAGGACCTGCTCGCGCAGAATTGCATTATGCCGACGTTCGGCAGAAAGGCAATTCGGCTATCTCTTCTGTGGTCGACCCCCTCGGCAGAGACGAAATTCGGCAAAAGCACGGCAGAAAGTAATCTCGGACTTTGCTTCTGCAAACGACCCATTTGACAGAAAATCGGGGACTTCGTTTTCTGCTACAGGTGGCGGTCCGAAATCACGAGAAATTCGCGATTTCGTAATTTAACCACTGAACCGATCTGGACTGAAAACGGCAAAATCTACTAGTGACATTGAGAAATTGAACACGTGACGCACATTTCGTAACTACGGATGTAAGGAAATTCCCTTTTCCTTACCGTGGCTTTTGCCAACCGAATCGCCCCAACCTGTTCGCGTGGTTCTCGGCTAGCTCTGTTCGTGCATATAAGTGCCTAGGCCCTCATTTGTATCGACACTCTTGAATCACGACTCCTTTATTACACTACTTGCTATTACTCTGACTAATTCATAACAGCTGGTATTAGAGCCCCGTTCCTGCCCGCTTAGTCTTCTGTAGAGTAGTCTGATTATATCGGGAGAGGACCCGACAGAATAGAGGGTTGGCCAGCGGTTGGTAGGCGAGCTCGTTAAAGCTCCTCCAACTAAAAGCATGTGCACCCTCAGATCTGTCATGTGAAATTTCCAGCATGACTAGAACGCCGGAAACCTCTCCCCGTCGTAGTATTAGGAACGTGACTCAGGAGGAGTTTGACGAGTTGCAAGCCAAGGCGGCTACTGCGACGACATTGCAGGCCCAGCTTCAACAACTCGCGGACAAGTTCGAGTCACTGGGAAGCGAAGTTCAGATGCTGCGCAACGAAAACTTGTCGCTTCGCCAGACGCGGGGTGAAAGGCGTCAGGGGCGGCTTGTTACCCGGGACGAAGATGCTAGCAACAACTTTGGACGGCTGCGACATGCTGCTGGGACGCGATTGGGTGCGCGAATACAACCCAAGCATTGACTGGCGGACGGGTGACTGTCGCATCAAATGGAGTGGCGAGTGGCGACGACTTCCCAAGTGGAGCTGTCAAGATTCGACCATATCGACGGTCAGCGCGGTTACGATCAAGTGAGCTATGATTCGAGGGGCGCAACTGTACGCCGTCCGCTGGATCGCATCAACGGCTGTCGACACCCCGGCCGACATCGACAGACTCTGCGCAGCTGTCTCGAACAATTTGGCAACGTTAATTCGCCAGCACGCCGACAGTTTTCCAGACGAACTACCGGCGGGTTTGCCACCTGAGCGAGACCACGACCACAAAATCGAGTTGGAGCCTGGCGCGCAACCGGCTGTTCGGACCCAATGGCGGCTGACTCAGCTCAAGCTGGATGAACTTCGATGCCAGCTGGACTACCTGCTCGAGATAGGTTTCGTTCGCCCCAGCAATTCCCCGTTCGCAGCTCCGATCCTGTTCACCCCGAAGAAAGATGGCGGTCTCCGAATGTGTATCGACTACCGCGCCTTAAATCGGGTTGCCATCAAGTCCCGCTATCCTATCCCGCGTGCCGACAAACTCATCGACCAACTTCGTGGGGCCAAGTTCTTTTCAAAAATTGACCTGCAAGGCGGTTACCATCAGATCCGCGTGAACGAAGCTGACTGCTACAAGACGGCGTTTTGGACCCGGTACGGGGGTTACGAGTACACGGTTATGCCATTTGGCTTAACAAACGCACCTTCAACATTCCAGTTAACCATGAACGAAGTCTTTCGGCCGCTGCTGGAAAAATGCGTCATCGTGTACCTCGACGACATCCAAAACTACAGCCCTACCCGCGAACAGCATTTGAAGGATTTGGAAGCAATTTTTTCTCTCCTACAGCAGCACCGACTCATCACCAAGGGCTCTAAGTGCGAGTTTCTCAAACAAGAACTGGAGTTTTTGGGCCACGTCATTTCCATCGACGGCGTTAAAATCGACCCCAAGAAGATCTCGACAATATAAGACTGGAAGCCGCCCGCTAATCTCCGAGAACTTCAGGGTTTTCTGGGGTTCGTGTAATTACGTTCGCCGGTTCATCCCGCACATAGCGGGGGGTAACTTCCCCTCTCACAGATCTCCTAAAGAAAGGCAAGTTTTATGAGTGGAGGGGAGAGCAACAGGCTGCGTTCGAAAAGCTCAAACTTTTCCTGACTACACCTCCGGTTCTTCGGATTGCCTCCAACCCATCGCCTACGAGTCACGAAAGCTGAACCCGGCCAAGCGAAATTATCCTGTACACGACAAGGATTTACTCGCCATCGTTCACGCTTTCAAGGTCTGGCGCTGCTACCTGACCGGCGCTGACGTGACAGTCCGAACAAACCACAAATCGCTAAAGTTCATCCGCGCCAAACCGACACTGAATTCCCGACAGATTCGCTGGCTCGATTACCTCGAGTCAAACTTCCACTACAGAGTCACCTATAAACGGGGGGTTAGCAATATCGCCGACGCGCTGACCCGCCCTTCAGTCCACACCTGCGCAGTCCTAATTACCCAAGCTAATCCGCTGCTAACTGGTCTATTCACCCATTGATACAACGTTGACCCATTCTTCACCACTAACTGTCATCCCCAACTGACGGTCAAGCAAGGGGCCTATTACATAAAATCCGGTACCAATCGGATTTCGGCTCTTGCCTACCGTACCCTATGCGAGCTACTGATTCAGGAGGCGCACGACTCGAATTTCTCGGGTCACTACGGCATCGAAAAAACCGCCAAATTACTGAGCCGTAATTATTACTGGCCCGATTTGCCGGCAGACGTGCAGCTGTACGTCACCTCCTGCGCCACGTGTCAACGCATGTAGTCGTCCCGACTTCGACCTGCGGGATTGCTGCAGCCACTCGAGCCACCCAGCCGACCCTAGCAACAAGTGACAATGGATTTCGTCACCGGCCTGCCAGCTGGTCCAAGCGGTAACGACGCGATTCTCGTCGTCATTGACCGGTTGACCAAGATGGCCCACTTCGCCGCCTGCAAGACGACGATTACTGCCGAGCAGACAACGAAACTGTTCCTCACGAATATCGTGCGGCTACACGGCCTCCCTTCGGCAATCATCAGCGATCATGACCCACGGTTCACGTCCAACTTCTGGACAAAAACCTGGCAGTAGTACCGCACACGTCTGCTTCTGTCCACGGCGTACCACCTACAATCGGACGGTCAGACTGAACGCACCAATCAGACGATGGACGATGACGTCCACAGACCCGGCCCAATGGGAAGACTCCCTTTTCTTGATCGAGTTTGCGTACAACAACGCCCCATCGGCCACGACTACTCAGTCCCCGTTCTTCCTCAATTATGGGATAGATACGACGACCCCACTATCGCCGCCGATAGAAAACCCGGAGCCTCAGCAGTTCGTCGAAAATCTTCGACAGTCCTAGCAAAAAGCCGCTGATGCCATCCTAAAAGCCAACCAGAGGGCTAAGCAGCAAGATGACCGACGACGCCGAGACCTGACTCTTACCCCTGGACAATTGGTCCTGCTCGACACCAGAAATTTGGGAATTCCCCTCCCAAATAAATTACGACCAAGATTTTGCGGCCCATTCCGCATCATCCGCATTGTGGCACCAGTCACCGCCCAGCTGCAACTACCGGCCGATAGGCAAATTCATGACTCATTCCACGTCAGTCTCCTGCGACCGTTCGTCCCGAGTACGACTAATCTCGACCGTCAACACATCAATCCCACGGTTGTGAGAGTACGACATCGTTACACCAATTTCCCCTTTTCATATTTCATCTCTATTTCATTCCTTTTTTTATCCTGATTCATTTGGTCTTTATCTCATCTCATTTGGTTTCCTATTCCTCCTTTACCATTATCCTTTGGTTTATCCTATTATTATAATTATATCACCGACCAGGCTCGGGATGTACTGGGCGCTATATCTAGCGTAATCCTGTCGTAATCCCTTAAAGCCAATAGCCTCGCATGGCTATACACAGGGTGATTCTATGTGTAGAAGGGTCTATTCCCTTTGGATAGGATAAACGTGGTTACCTGATGTACTCTTGAAGTATAAAATCACCTTGTACTGATTGATATGGAACATTGAGCAAGCCTCATTCGATCCTGTAACACTTGGTAATCAGAACCAAGGTTTCAGCTCAACGCTTAACCGCTGGGCCCCCAGGAGCACGCGGAGGATGGAGTCGAAACTTCATCGATGGACTGCATCGACGGTGCCGAGTTTTTCGCGGGGGCAGACGGCCTCGACCTCACGAACACGTCAGTTCTGGCGGAACACTCCCTGCGACATTCCGAGGAGTTCGCAGTTCGCGACGACACTTGGAGTTGCGCGGAAATGTGCGGAGCTGCGATCGACAGCATCCGTCCCATGGAGATTCGACGCTTCAGATCGACCGAGGCGAAAACGAAACCTTCTGAGCGGGTTCGAGTTTCATCGCGAATGGGAATCGGACATCGCATGCCGCGAAATTCTTCGGAGCGTCCGATCGTCCGACATTCGACATCGACGACCGAAAATTGCTGCAGGAAACGAGTCAACCCGTGCACTGAAAGCTGCTGAACGTGTCTCAGGAATCTCTTCAGATCGCTTGGATTTTGGACCGTCGGATTGACTTCTGCTTCAACGGATGAGATGGAGCGCGACTTCTGCACGAAGAGAGAATAACGCGTAGAACAAGAAACTAGCCACCTTTGACACCATTCAAATACTCTTGACAACCAAATTCGGATTCCTCCATTTGGTTACGAATATGGCGGACAAATCATCTGCAGAGTCAGAACCCTGCCAAAGAATTACCTACTTGGTAATAGCTGCAGACAGAAAACTGATAGGCGAACGTGGGTCGTCGGATCGGTGCGGAATCGACGACACAAACGCAGCGAAGACCACACTATGGGAAAACATCACGAAGGAGACAACATTCGTGACCAGAGACTGCACAATCGACGCATCTTCTAACTCGTGTTGATAACGAGACGATTTATTTTTACGAAGTTATCGTCATTAAAAATGGATCGACATCAACACACCGAGATCTTCACCCAGGAAAACAATGGAGCTGCGTGAAGACATGTTCTCCATCCACGAGACACTTCTTCATACAAATTGATCGAAAACCTATGGGATTGCAGAGAAGTAGCCGTTTTCTCTTGCAATGTTCCCAAGTTCAAGTTGCTGCGAAGGAGCAGATTTCGCACGCAACGACGACGCAATGAACCCGTCTCGTCAAGGCCAGCGAGATACTACTTTGTAACAGGAGCTGATCGATTCGTTTTCATCAAGAATCTCAGCCATTCGAAGTGATTGATTGGAGCAGTCTCAACATCAACCTCACGATGCGACACACCAATCATGCGTCGCGATTCCAGGTGTTAATGACCTGCGTGGAAATGTTTCCGTGCATGTCACGATGCTTGACAGATTGAGGAGTAATTAACCTCTAATCCGGCAAGTATTCGTTCACTAGCGACCCTACGACACATGCATTGGAGGCGATTCTACCAGAAGCCGAAGCGCTACAAGCACCAGCGTAACTTCGACGATGCAGGAGAATGCCAAGCAATACGAGGTGTCCACATATGAGGGAGATGCGGACTACTACAACACGCGCTCTACCGACCGTACATCGGAGGCACGGATGAGCATACCAGGATTTGCTATCCGTGGATACATTGAGAGGAGAAGCAAATTTCTCTTCATACCCTCAAATGCAACAATCACCGGCAGCAATGGATCAACACATGTGTACTAATGTGCACGTGTTCCTAGTAGTTACGCCTGTTACACCCACCAGGAACACTCTACTGGGAAGAGGGAGTTGATGGATTCTCCTTCAACCGGTACGAGTTGAGAGAATTCTCTGCAGCAGCTGCCACCGTCGCCGTCGTCGCAACCGCCGCCGCCGCTGCAGCAGAAGACTCGACACAACAGTCATATCCAAACCCTGATGGATAATTCTCCGCTCAATGGAGATAACGCTAGATTATATTCTAGCATGATCGTGAAGTTCTGGTCAGGCACAACACTGATTTCCAGCTAGTGAGAAGGAGATACCACTATGCGAGGAAACAACATGGCAATGCCATATACCCTCAAGAGCAGAAAATATTTGCTCTTATGAGGATGGAAGGACCACGGTACTCTACCGGTATACAAGTCCTCATGGCCTATGGCTTTTCTTCAAGTCATAAAACCTGCGTCGTAACCAATCCATCACCAGCACCAACTCCACGGAAGCAGATAGGCGTGGAAAGGAGCGCCGACGCCACTCCGGATAGTGGACTCCGCGTATCTCCAACAACACCCCTGTTTGCCGAAATGGAGCAGACTTCAACACCGATGCTGAGTAGTTGAGACTTCTTCAACATCAATGCTACTTCAAGGACAGTGACAGAATGAGACAACACATGATGGCACCAAAAGACCTATTCCAATATGCGCGCCCACACACTGATGCCTACCGATGGCCTCCGTGCTAAACTGGAAGTGCATAAGGTCATACTGGATTGGATGTCACCAATGCCCATTTGGAAGTGGGAAAGGATTTCTTGGGAATACCCATAACATTCCCAGATGTCCTAACCCATCACCGTGGGATATCTACGCAGCAGAGATTCCTTGCTTGAGCAACCACCGAGGGAAACTACTTTGGTGCCGATTCTGGAAGTTACCAGCTCCGCGTTTATGGTACCAACCCCTCGCATGGTCCTAAACACAAGGGATAGACTGAGCAGCGCTACGATGCCGAGAGGGTACAACTTGCGACAACACTACGGCATGGACCAGCATTCGACAGAAGCTGGATGTATCTGATACAATGCTGCTACAAAAGCAGGACTATGTCACGACTGCAACACCACCAACACTTAGTCATCTTCATACGTGGACGGGATGAGAGTAACAGCGGGATGTGCTACCCGAGACTCAACGCATACTACAGTGTGCCAGCTAGAGCACCCATCGAAAGGACAGTACATCTACTCTTCCGCTACAACATCTCGATCACGATCAACGCCATCCGCGTACCACCTACAGTTGCAACCAGCTCACATCACAACAACCGATAAATCCATTTCATCACCGTTGTCCATCAGCTCTAACACCGGACACGCCACTTGGACATCCAACAGCAGGAGAAGCACCTGGCTACTCATCACCACAGTCATCCACACCGTAATCTCAACATCAGCCATATTCCATCCAAGCTTCAACCTTGCTTCTGCGGGTCTATCCTCGTTGAAGCAAAGGCCACTTCAGTCACCTTCCGCTTCCGCTACCAGCCACTTGGAAGATCCATAACGCCTTCCATATCAGCTTCGTAAACCCTATCAAGACCAAACACGCTCTACACCAAATGCCAACCACCGTCGCTGCCCGTGTCTATCCACGCCCTGGGACAACTACGTGCTCGGACACCATCGTCGTCAGAATGGCACCCTGGAGCTTCCTTTGCTGGAAGGGTTGTGATCCTTCTGAGGCTGCGTCTCTGAATTCGACATGGGTAACGCCCGTCGTCCTCTTCGCGACTACCTTGTCAAGCAGGGTGTTACTTCTACCACCAAGCTTTGAGGGGGGGAAGTGTGAGAGTACGACAACGTTACACCAATTTCCCCTTTTCATATTTCCTCTCTATTTCATTCCTCTTTTTATCCTGATTTATTTGGTCTTTATCTCATCTCATTTGGTTTTCTATTCCTCCTTTTCCATTATCCTTTGGTTTATTCTGTTATTATGATTATATCACCGACCAGGCTCGGGATGTACTGGCGCGCTATATCTAGCGTAATCCTGCCGTAATCCCTTAAAGCCAATAGCCTCGCATGGCTATACGCAGAGTGATTCTATTTCTAGAAGGGTCTATTCTCTTTGGATAGGATAAACGTGGTTACCTGATGTACTCTGGAAGTATAAAAGCACCTTGTACTAATTGATATGGAACATTGAGCAAACCTCATTCGATCCTGTGACAACGGTCCACCTAGTACCTGAGCCGACGATCGAGCCATCCAAGATTCTCGCTCATCGTTTACGAGGCCAACGAGACACCGCAGCCGTTGATTTCCTTGTACGATGGGTCGATCGCACGACTGACGA